ATGGTCATATTTTGCAGCTATTTGAACGCACATAAAAGGAACCTTATTTTTGTGTAATTTTATTAATTCATAAAGTTCCACCTTATTGGAATTTAACAGAGATACATATAACTTTAACAATATTGTCATTAAGTTCTTTTTTGGTCTTCCATATATTTTTTGCAGTAACTGTTCATTATTTTTATCTTTATTGTATTCAGAAATTACCCGCGCAATTATTGCCTCCCTAATTCTAAGGGCCGTAGCAACCTCCTTGCGTAATGGTAAGTCTTGATGCTTCTTCTTACTCTATCAGATATCAAAAAAGTATTGATAGATATGAATGACCATCTTTTTTTCATTACTAGTCAGGTAACTTTAGTCTCATTTTAAGTTGTCCATTTGAAAAAAAAAGGCAGTTAAATTTTTATTTTATTTTAAAGTTTAGAACCATCTTTACCTTATCTGTAATTTATATAATCATATATTCAGTTTGTGAAGTTTTGTGTAGCATAAGAAAATCAGGTGATGATCTTTGTATATCAATCTTTTTGCACTGGACCATATAATATGATTATTTTTGAAAAAATAATAAAATAATAAAAATATGATTTATTTTCCTTCTAAAAGTTTTTTGAAATTGTCTAAAAATATAAAATAATAAATAAAATAATAAAAATTATTTAAACATCTTATTATAAATTATAAATTTAGAATAAAAAATAAGATATAAATCTAAAAAAATTTGTCGAATTGGTTTCTTTTTTGTTAAAATTATTTTCTTTTTGCTAAAAATTAATTTTACAATTTAATTATGAAACAAATTATTAAACAAAATAATAATAATGAACTTGATACTATAGCAGAAACTGAAATCTCTCCAAGAACATATAATTTAGTTTAAAAACATTTTAGAATAGAAAATAAAAAAGCAAAGTATATATATTGTTCATAGATATATATTTATTTTTATTTTATAATAAATATTATTAACATGCAATTCTGTTGAATTGTAACTGTTAGATAAAATATTCAAGTAATAATTTTTTTAAAGTTTACATAGTAATCTAACACAGTTTTTAACTTAAGCTTTATAATTTACATGATAGTGTACTCTCAATAATACTAAAAGTAAGATTACTCAATTGATTAAGTATTATAATAATAAGTTTATTAACGGTAAACAATAAGAAATAAGAAAAGAAATAAGAAAATAGAAAATAAAGTAAGAAAATTAAAAGAACTAAAAGTATTAAATACAAGTGTTAGGTTAGGTGCCTCTAAAGTGCTATTAACAGTATATTTGAAAGTATGACTAAAAAGAAACTAAAAGCAAACTAGAAGTAAATTAAAGTTTACATAATTTTATTGTTCTCTATTTATATTAATTTTAATACATAAATGGATATAACAAATAAATCAAATATGTCTAATATATTCTATTTATCTAATATATCAGTTATGTTAGGCTTATCAAATATATCCTATATGTCAAATATATTTGATATATTTGACATTTAGATCTGCAATCTTCTGCGTTATATTTATTAATACAATCTAGTTACATTACTTCTCGCTTAAGATTTCTACTCTAGTAAAAAGATTTAAAACTTTAATTACTAAGGCTTGATATTTAGTAGTTTTCAAATGTTGAATCATCATCAAAGTCAGTAACTGAGTGCCAAAGATATGCTGAACTCCAAGGTTTTTAAACAAATGAAAGACTCATATAGCAGTTTAATAATAATACGTGATAATAGTGAAAGTCTTGAGCAGGAATAAGAGTTTTATCATCAAGAAGTTATCCTAAATAAAAGGAATTGACAAGTGATAAAAGTTGATTGTTCATGTATATTAATCGTAAAAAAGCTCGATAGGTTAATTACACTTTTTGTAATAAAGTCATGTCAGTTTTATAGGGTTTTAAAATTTAAGTGATTATAGTTGAAAGATCTGCTGTATGCTTCAGTTATTCTAATATAATTTCAAAATTATCTAAAATCGCTATTTCAAAATTTTACCAAATAGTTTCATTAGAGTCTTTACTAAACCTGTATTTATAAGAAATTCAATTAACTGATAATGATTTGTGATGTTCATTTAGATCTTTTCAAATATAGTTTCAAGAGATTAGCATGTACTTGGTTCTTTCTAATTCGTCTATCTATAGCATGCAATTTATATGTACCAGGTCATATAATATCATGTATGTAAAACAATTTATCAAATTTATCTTTAAATTTATCACTATGTATGTGTGATTGTAATATATTAAATATTAATACTTTGTCTCTTATTTAATAATTTATTTCAGAGTGGCTTTTATTGTAATATTCCTATTGTTATTATTAATATTATAAAATAGCATCAAGTCTCTTTTGTTCTAATTAGGTGAAAATTAACTGATGATATTTATTTACTACTTGTAAAAGGTTACTTTCAGGAGAAGGTGTTATAACTGTAAGTCAATAGGTAACGTCACTTTTCTTTTATATAACAATTTAAAGGGCTCTAATTTGATTATTTCTTGCTAAGCAGTTCGATAAGCAAATAGAGCTGATAGTAAATATGAATTCCATTCACTTTTATGTTATTCTGCATATTTTTCTAAAACTATGCTTAGTTCTAATAATATGCATAAGTGTAACAACTAATTCATTCTGAAAAGATATGGCTCAATCAGTTAAAATCACCTTTAGTGTACTGTAATAATATATTATTTTACCATAAATAAATTGTGCACTTATTTGAGAAGTACAAACAGGAGTTGTTGCAGTTTTTACTTATTTAGTAAGATATTTAATAGCAACTATAATATATCTGTTGCCTTTAGTAAGAGGTGTCTAAAGCCATTCAATCACATAATTTCTCGACTGATAATTCAGAATCCAGATATGTTATGCAAAGTAAAAATAGTATTCTATTTTTAAAAATAGCGTTACATTTTAAAATATAAAGTGTTATATTTTTCAAAAATAGCAAATGATAGGAATCATTTTTAAATTCATAACAAAAAAAAATAATAATACACGCTCTTTATAATATAGTAAATAAAGATATTAATAGTTTGACCAATTCAGTTTTAGTCTGATTTTTATCAGTTTGAGGGTAAAATCAAACTGAATCAGTTTATAGATCGATTTAAAACTGGAGTCTAAACTAAAATTTAGACCAGAATTTATATATACAGGTTATTGTAAAAATTTTTAACGAAATTATAAAATTGTGCAATACTCAACATTTTTAATACAAAAATTTTATTATAATACAAATTAACTGAAAAAAAGTCAAATTATATAAAAAAAATTTTTTTTTTTGTGATTTAATATTACTAAAATATTATTTCCATTAAGCTTTTGATTGAAATAATTCTATTTATACAATTTTAATATAAATTTATATATTTTTTACTATCCTTTTTTCTGAAATCTAATATTTTATACAAATAATTGCTTTTACTATTTTAGGATTTAACCTATTTGGAACTGACGTCACTTGAATCGATAAATAATCCTTAGTCATTTGAGACAATATAGGATAATCTTTTTCATAAAATTTCTACCAAATTAAAGGATTGGTACCAATATTTACTGGAGAATTTAGATATCTATCTAATTCATCACATGTCATTCTATGATAATTATTTTGATTAAGCAAATTAAGAAAGTAATTCTAAGACGATAACTTTTTTTTTAAATTATTTAAAGGAGAATATTTACTATATAATTCTTGTATATTATTAATAATTTCAGCTAAGTTATTATTTTCAAATAATGTGATTTTGTAATGTGAATCTAATACTAAAGAAATTGTAGAAGTGTAATTTAAATGATTATCCCAATATTTTTTTAATTTGTTATAAATAGCTGATGTTATTTCTTTTTATGTATAATGACCTCTTCTTTGATATTGATTTAATTTTTTAAACATTTCAACAAAAACCAATCTAATATCACTTTGTGTAGAATTTAATAATGATGATAATAACTGTGTTGCTTCATACATAAGTTATAAAATTAATAATAATTCTTAAAATAAATAATAATTATAAAATAAATAAATAATAATTAATTAATTATAATAATAAATAAATACCTTAATATGACTCTATTTAGAAATTATTAGAAAAAGATTATCAAGATTTTTAGGATTTGTTATTACAAGTAATTCAGAAACATTCTACATTAAAATTTATTTAGCAATCATCAAATATTAGAATTTTAATGTGTATCTATATTTAAAATTAGTTTTAGAAATTTAATTTTTCTAATAGCACAAATTTCTAATAATTTATCTAATAATAGTGGTGAATTTTTTAATTTAATAACAAATTGATGAAGTTTTTTGATTTCATCTCCTACATTTTTCATTTTAACTTTTACTGCCAAGTTGATAATATAAGCAGCACATCAAAAATAAATAAAGATATATTATTAAATTCTTAATCTAATTCAGTTGCTAATTGATTACACATGCTATCATATTGCTTCCATTTTCTGTTATCATAACAAGAATATTCTGACTAATATTGAATTCTTCAAAAGGTTGTGAAAGTTTGCTTGTAATTAATTCAGCTCCATGAGAAACATTTATAGGAATTATATCAAGTAAAAGATTCTTTAATTTCCAATTATTATTAATATAATGAATTGTTATTTTAAGATAATAATCTTTTGGATCTGATATCCATATGTCTGTTGTGAGAGATATTTTTGAATTAATTTGTAAAATTTTGCTTATTAAATCATTTCTTTTTGTATCATAATTTTTTACAAATTTTTCTTTTAAAGTTTATCTATATGATAAAATAAATTAAGGATTTAACTTATTAATAAATAATTTGAATTCAGTATTTTTAATAATAAAAAAAGTTTGTAAATCAGTTACAATAAAATCAATCAATGAATTTGTAATGGAATTGGATTGTGATAAAGAATAGGGTTTGAAGTGCATTTCATTTAAAGTAATTTGATGATTTTGAGTTTTTTTATAATGAAATGAATGTTTTTTAGTTAATGTTTTCAGAGGGTGGTTATTGGATTGCTAGGCAAATAAATTTTAGTACATAATATACATTTATAACTTATTATTAGTCCAGTTTCTTCATCTTGGACTTTAAAAAAAATTCCTATACATCTGACTTGTGAGTTGTTATATTGGAATCTTCTTCAGTTGCTAAAGAAGTTGAAGAAATATCTGAGAAATTATCATCATTTTTATTTAAAATTACACTGCCAGACATTGTACAATACAAATAATAATGCAAAATGAAAATTATTTTAGTTAAAATAATCAATTTGTCTTACAATTTATATGATATAGCATTTATATAAATTGATTGTCTAAACTGGTCTAAATACCAGTTCTATGATCAAATCAGAGTCAGATCAGTCTAGCTATAGACCTTAACATCCTTAATAGTAAATAAAATTTTTGGTATTCTTTCTTCTTTCTTTTGAAATTTCTTTTTTGAAGATTATTAAAGAAAGCTCTGAAAAATCCCGAATAAAACTGAAAAAAATGAAGCTAAAGTTTAGTATTAAACACTTTACAAATATTTTATCTATGATTCCATTTGCTTTTAATACAATAATAAATATATCTATATCAAAAAATCAAAAATAGGACCTTCTTCTTAATATTAACCAACCACTTGAACTTTTAATAGAGAAGTTTAATAAAGAGTGGTGGTCTCTTATATCAAACATATAAACTGAATTTAGTTGTAAAAATAATATTAATGATAATTCATGAAAAGTTTTTGTTATTGATTTAAAAAACATAATACAGTCAACTCTTGTTATAACGAGCTCTATGTCCTAGACTTCAACTTCGCTATAAGGCTATAGTGAAGATTTTAAGAGATTTGATTGGCCAATTCGTTATAACAAGAGTATTTTTATTATATTTGTTTAAAAATTTGTTATATCAAGAGTTCGCTATATCAAGAGTTAACTATAAGTCAAATATTCAGAAAGAAGAAATGTCACATAATAAACATTTGACAAGCTGATATGTGTTCTGCAAAAATCAAAGTTCAACATTATTTTTCTGAACAGAAAATACAAGTTGAATAATTTAAGGACTCACCTGATCATTCACACTCTTTAGAAAAAAATGAAAAACTTAAATGCTTACAGGTTGTTCAGGAATTAATTATACAAGAAGCCTTAAAGAATTATCGATCACCAAAATTCATTAGTGCAGTTAAGGAGATTGCAACTGAAAAATTAAACCTAGAAGAATATATAAAAGAGTTGAAATGAAAGGAGGTTATAAATATAAAGTATAAAATATGTGGACTTCTTGATATATATTTAATTGGTAATTCTAAAAAGAGTTAGATATTTGAGATGCAATTTCTTTCTTAAAAAAACAAGGATATTTAGTCGAATACTATGAAATTCCTGATCTGTTCACCTATGGTTTTATTTTTATTCACCCTAATCATCTTAAAAATCTTGAGCAATATGACTGATTAACTCTTATAGACTCTACACATAAGACCAATAGATATGATTATCGCTTGTTTACTTTATATATTCATAATTATTATAGATGTTAGGATGTTAGGACTCACTTTTTTGTAAGTAATGAAGATAGTAACACTATTGCAAAGAGTTTAAAAATAATTAGACAATTTATTCATTGTTGAAATCTAAGGTATTTTTTTTCTGACTAAAGTAATATAGAGTCTAATGCTATCAAAATAACTTTTTTTGATCTTAAGAATAGTGAACAAGAGTGTAATATCATCTTTTACACAGTGCATGTTATGCGTATCTGAATAAGTAAAATTTATGAGAAAAAGACTTGACAAAAAATGATCAATGCTATACATAAAAAGACTAAGATCAGTTGTGAAAATCTTATTCAAGAAGTAATCAATGAATACTCAAATCCAACTATTAAAAAGTACATCTTGAGAAATTACATAAAAAATATGCATTAATGGGTACTTTATACACAATAGCCTTTTCCTTTTCTTTTAAAAGTTACTTCAACAAATGTTTTAGAGTCATATCATAGTGAATTAAAAAATGACCTCTTCAAAATATGGTTTAATTAGTAATAGCTTTTGAATTCATGTATTTTTAATTCAAAGGTTTATTCTAATTAAGTTTTTGATCAGGTGCATGCCAAAAATAATAGCATTTGATAAAAAAAAATTCTGATTCAGAATGTATTGCTTATGAATTTCGCATCAAAAAATTTTGGCTATTAGTATTAATGATGAGATTCTTTATGAAATTCACAAATTCCCATTTTCTGTTCAACAAATGTTTATTAGTAAATGCTGTGCTGTTGAAGGATAAATAGAAAAAGAAAAAGCAGTACTAGGACTTACATCTCTAACCTGCAATTGTTTATTTAGATTTGGATGTATCAGTACTAAAATTAACTGAAGCTGAGAATGCAGTAGTAAATAGATGACAATAAGTGAATGAGTTTATGAAAAGAATACATGATACATACTGGAAAGTCAAAGAAAAAGGTAATGCAAAACAAACTGGTATATTTATTAGAAAATTAAAAAATCATTTAGTACCTATTTTAAACAATTATAAAAGTGTTTAGGTTTAACTTTTATTTTAAATAAATATATTTTTTATAATTTTAATAGTACTGAAAATTTTATAATATAAAATATTATTAAAAAAAGCATTAAACAAATTTCATTACATTAATTAATTAAAAGATTTCATTAGAAAAAAATTTTATTAAAGAGAAACTTTGATAAAATGGAAAAAAAAAAAGTTTCATTAAAAAAAAATGTAATACTATTTTAAAATGTAATACTATTTTTAAAAATAGAATACTATTTTAAAATGTAATACTATATTTAAAAATGGAATATTATTTTTATGTAACATATCTAGATTCTAAATTACCAGTTGAGAAATTATGTAATTGAACATGATTTTAGACACCTCTTTTAATAGTTTGAGAAAGAGGTCCTACATAATCTATTATAACATGATTAAATGGCTATCTAACTAGTATTAGATATAATAGTTCCATTTATTTAGTCTTTCTTACCATTAACATATATTACAAGTTTTTATCTAATTATCAATAACTTGATACATATTTGGCCAGTAATACTTGAAGGCTATTTTATTATATGTGATATTATGATCTAGATATCCTTCTAATAGTTCATTATGTACGTTGTGAATTAAGATTTTAACTTCAGTAGATTTTATAATTAGTAAAAGGTGTAAGAGTTGTTTTTGATTTCTATGGTAAAGTTGTTAGTTTTTAATAAAATATTTAAATGATTGTTTTCAAATTTCAAGTTATTATGTAGGAGTAGTATTGGGTAAGTAAGTTAGAGTGTTGAAGAAGTAATAAATTGGTTATAAGATTCTAAATCCATTTTGATTATTAGAGTTATTAGTTATACTGCTGAAATTAAAGCTTTCTCTCTATATTTTGTTATTTTTCTGAATTACAATTAATTTGTGAAAGAGGAAAGTCAAGATAAAGCATCTGCATTTAAATATATTTTTCCTTTTCTATATCTAATTTATAAGGGAACTCTATAATTCTAATGATCTATCTTATAAATTTCCTAAGTGAATCTGATTTATTGAACAACTACTGTAATGTTACATAATCAGTAACTAGCTCAAATAGTTGATAAAGTAAATAGGATCTAAAATGTTCTATTCTCCAAATTATAGTAAGATATTCCAATTCAGTAAACACATAGTTTCGTTCAGTATTATTTAGATTTCAACTAGTGTATGCAACTATATATTCTCTATTTAGATCATCAAGTTGTGCTAACACCACTCTAAGTCCTACATAAGATCTATCAGTGAACAATAAGAACTTTCACTTAAAGTCTGAATATATTAAAATTAGTGCTATGATCAAATAATTTTCAAATGTTCAAACGCTTTTTGTTGAGCTAAGGTCCATTCAAAAGGACTTTCTTTTTATAATAATAAATACAAAGAGGCAGCTTTAATAGAGAATTCTTAAATAAATTTTTAATATTAGAAGGTTAGCCTAAGGAATCTCCTAAGTTTTATAATGTTTTTAGGAATTGAAAAATTCTTAATCTTGTCAATCTTGAAAAGATCTGATGAAATTTCTTATCTGCTAATAATATGTCTCAAAAATGCAAGTTCTAATTTATAAAACTCATATTTATCTTTATCAAGTTTTAATTCTACCTTGCTTAATTTTTTAAAAATATGCTTTAAGTATTGTATATGTTCCTCAAAGATAAAAGAAAGATAATAATATTATCAAGATAAATTATTATAAACTGTCTAATTTCTTCTTTAAAAACTTTATTCATTAACTACTGGAAAGTGACAGGAGCATTTGTTAATCCAAATGGTATAACTTTAAATTCAAATAATCCTTAACTTGTAATGAAGGCTATTTTTGCTTGATTTTTAGCTTTCATCGTTATTTGCTAGTATTCACTAGCTAAATCTAAAGTAGAAAAATATTTAGAATATCTAAACATATCTAATAGTTCGTCAATTCGTGGTAATGGATATCTATCTCTCCTAGTAACACTGTTTAGTTTTTAATAATCAATATAAAAACGTAAGCTTTCATTTTTTTTTGTATTAAAATAACAGATGAGATCTAAGAACTTTCAGATAGTTAGATAAAATTGTATTTTAACATTCAATCAATTTTTTTCTTGATGAATTCTTGTTCTAAAGGTGTAACTCTATAAGTTTGTTGTCATATTGGAAGAGGATTTTCTATTGAAATATAATATTTTTAATAGCAGTGTATCCTAATTATAATAAGTCACTTGCGAATGCATTAGTATAAGCCTGTAAAAACTGTTATAAATTCTTCTATTGTTTTTGGTTTAAATGTATATAGGAATTAATTTTTGCTAGTTTTTCTTTAGGGATGTTTTATAACAATTACCAATGTTCCCATTCCTTTTAACATAATAAATAGGTATTATTTACTTGATCAAGTTGCTTATGACATCAGTATTTATTTTTAGGGCCTTACCAATGATAATTCTATTTTGAATTTTCAGGTAGTTGACATTGAAATTTTTGTTTAAGACTTTCAAAGTATTGTGAAGAATAACTTTACTTTTGAACTATTACTTGCTTAAAATTACTTTCAGCTAAAATTGGTTCTTCTTCATTATCATCTAGTATCATATAATGTTGCTGCATAGTTAACTTTTCATCTTCATATTCATCACTTATAGAACTTGCAGGAATAGGTATAGGCTGTTGAAACTTATCAAATTTAGGTTTTCTCAATAAGTCATAGAGACTTAGTGTTCTTGCTAATTCTATTAAAAGATAAATTTTTGATAGTTTTAATAAAGTTGTCTGTGACATTTTATTAACCAATTATTTCTGGTTATAATGTAGTAATTATTAGACTCAGTTATATCAACATCAATAAGGATTTCTACATTACCAATTTATATTAAAATATTAGTAATCTTTTCTAATGGTTATGAGCGTTTATCTTATATGTTAATTATTATAATTATTGAAAGGCTTTCAATTTTTCTATTTAATTGTTGCAAGAAATTTTTTGACAGAATACTTCCAACAGAACCTGAATCTAAGATTAAATAAATGAACTTGCTATTCACAAAGGCATAATAGTAAACAGCTTCTACAGCTTTAGGTATATCAATTTAATTTAAGGGGTTTAAATAATGACTAATACTCTCACCTTCTTGAGATACCCTTAATAGTTTAAAGGCTGGTTGGTAAAATTAGAAGAGAAAGTATTATTGGTTATTGAAGTATTAGGAAAAGGAAATGTTATTGAAGGTTGTGAAAAAAGAAGTGGTAAAAACGAGTTTGAAGTATTATATATGAAACTTCTTTAAGATAATATAGCTTATTGACCTGTTTGACTAAATTGTGATTGTCTATTATTAAAGGTTAGTACTGTTCTGGTTGAATATAAATTTTTCTAATGTTCAAACTGATGATAATAGAGACAAGATCCATTAGATGAAGTGTATAATTTTAGCCATATGTTCTCTTGTTTATAAGTAAAACATCAGTTTTCATTCTGAGAAGTATTATTTCGATTTTTATTCTGTTAGAAATTATTTTTATTACCACTTTGGTTGCTTTGTACTCTGCAATTCTTAATAATATGTCCAGGTCAATTACAGGTATAGCATATTTAGTCATTGTTATTACTATTATTATTTCTCTAATTATTATTATTATGTATAGAATAGCTGTTATTAATATAAGGGTTAGTTGTAGTAGTGATCAATAACTGCTTAAATTCTTTTATCAATTTTTCATTGTTCTCCTTAATTAGTTGTTGTATATTAGGGACTTCTTCTTGTTCAGCTTCTTCATCATATTAGTTTAAGTATGTTTTACTGAAAGAATATCCTGAGAGGATACTATTCTTAAAAAGAACAGCTTCAATAACTCAAGTTCAATCAATTGCTTTCTCTAAATTATAAGATATAGCAGCTACTGTGGTCAAAAACTCAGATCAAAGTACTTGTAAGAATTGCTTAATTTTCTCATCCTCTGGTGTATTGTAATTAAGATTAAGTTTAAGGTATAATGATTCAATATCAGCAGTATAGTCTTTGACAGATTGGCCAGAACATTATTTATATCATCTAAGTGTAGAATGCTATTGTATCCTTTGGTAAGTTGTATAATAATACTTTAAAAAGTAGTAAATAAAGTATCAATGTTTATGTTATTGATCATTAGAATTATCTCAGTACCAAAAATCTTTTTTATTTTTAGTTTTATTATACTAAGTGAGGGCTGATCCTTTTAGAAAAAAAAAGAACTAACGTGAGGTGTCACTTATCTGAGATTCCGTTTGCATCACTGACATGATTATATTTTTTTAAACATTCTTGAGGGTCTTATCTCCACCCTTAAAAGTTAATAAATCTATGAATTTAGCCTCTCGTGATCTACTAAATTTAACAGACTTAAAGACAGTTTGCAGACCTCTCATTATTTGAAAGGAATTTTGTTTATTTTGATTCTTAATATTAGTTTTATCAAATAGATTCCTATGAAATAACAAATAGCATAGTTTTAAAGGTAATAATATAAGTATTTTTTAAATTTTTAAAATTAATTTATATTATATTTATTTAAAATATAGTTTTGTAAGCTTAGTATTAAAATTAGAGCTTCACCTCAATGTCAAGAAAAATTTTTACATCAATGTGATGCAGCTTTCTTCCTGTTAAAGAACTTATATTAAATATAACAACAAGATAGAATTCTACTTATAATATAATTAAACATAGTTTTGAATTACATGAAGTTAGTATTAAAATTTTATTATTATAACTAAATTTATAAAATTTATTAATAATTATTATAATTATTAAAGTCTTTAGATAATACAGGAATATCTGAACAGGAATTAAGATTATATGTTTTAAATAATTATGAATGGAATTTATTAAAAGAAATAGAAAATTTATTAGAGGTAAGAAATAATATAATTAATTGTATTATAATATTTTTTTTATTAATTTATTAAATTTATATATAGTATTTTGCACAAATAATAAAATATATTTCACATAAAAGTTTTTCAAATTTAACAATTACAATACCAACCTATAATTGGTTAATGAATATGATTGAAGATTTTCAAAACTCTTATATGTTATGTTTCTGAAGCATTTAGCTATTTTTCAACTGGCCAGCCAATTTACAATAAAAGTACTTTTCATTTTTTAAATGCGTTTCGCCTAGTGATTTTGTAACCAATGTTTGCCTTGTTTCACAGCCACAATCAGTGGTAGCGTCGATAAAAATAAAATTTTATTTATATACTGATCGCAATACATGTACGCTAACATACTATATCTGCCATCCCACAAAAGTGACTACATGAATCAGTTAAGTATTAATTACAATTATGAAAAAATAGCTAGTATTGTTACATCAATAAAAAAAATCCTAATCCGGTTGCTCATCCGAAACCCAGCGTAATTATTATTTATAATGACATTAATAACATTCGCACTTTGTGAAAAGGAGGGAAGTTAACCCTAGAAACCGCAGGTGTTTCTACAGAAGGTGTTGCTGGTCTTGACACCTCAGGCGAATCCTCGGATTGTACAACAACTGATGATCCCTCAGGTGAGTTATCAGAGGTAACTGATCGCTCAGAAAGGAACGTGATCGTTCACCCGTTTCTAGAAATTGTTGAGGTTGAGGGTACCATAGACGCCTCTACATGTGGTGTTGATGTTGCTGAATTCGCCCTGCTTAACCTCCTAACGTTCTCATTATGTGTTCATACGAATGGTAGTTCTAACAAAATTAAAATAGAATGATGTTAATAATAATTTATTTTGATGGAGGGCATCCACTTCCCAAGAGCATAGTTACCAGGCTTTAACCAAAACTCGGTAGAAAACTCCTCATAAAGCCTTCTCCAATTAAACTCTTTTTTTCCCACCGCCTCTATATATTAGTGCCGTCTAATAAAATAATAAAAGTATATTTGCCAGCCAGAATCTTCGTAGAGTCCAAGCAAGTACTACTTACTTTAAATGTTCGTGAATTTCTTACGACAAAAAAAAGGAAAAATCTTTAATTATGAGTTAAGCAATGACTTTTTTAAATGAGGTGAAGTGGAATATTGTAATAATTTATTTTTTTTTTTTTGCCTCAATTGCTAATCCCGAATTTACACTGCAGATTCTAATCTGAAAGTTCTCTTGCAGAACTTAGATAAAGTTGAAATCTTTTCCAAACTCATAAGTTAGAAAATTATATCGTAGAAAATTATCTCCGGTAGGTGTATCAAAGAAAACCTCAGTTCGCTTCTCATCATGTGAAAGTGTCTTGCTGTAAGATAGTCTCGTGTTTTTCATGTACAATTTGTGGAGAAATCGAATAAAAAAAAAAAACTATTAGTATCTTATTTAAATAAAAGCTAGTTAAACAATTTATGGGTGAGCTATTCTCACTCATAAGCCGGCCATTTACTCATAATGACTCGCCATCACTGGCTTCCGACAGAATCAGTCTGCCGCAGACGCTTTGGGTGACAAATAACCCCATAACAATTCTGTGCAATAAAATCTAGCCGGCCAATATAATATAATGACTCGCCATCACTGGCTTCCGACAGAATAAGTCTGCCGCAGACGCTTCTTTTACGCTTAACAGAAATGTTGATATATTCAGAAAGAAAATATTTATTAAACTTACTTGATTGAAATGAGAGATTAAGAGTGTTAAAATGTACCAGGGGTTTAGGTTTTAAATTTGCTCTTTTAAGAAAGGCGTACGCGTTCTCACGTGATCTTGTGTAAATGGAAATGGAATATAATACGCGTCTGACGTGAAATTTTCAACTACGTAAGTAATAATGCAAAACAATTCAAAGAGAACGGTTACCAGTACGAAAGAAAAAAATTTAAGATGGATGCTCAATTCTCCTGATCCGAGCCCTCTTGCCTTTTTTAGATTCACTTTTCCTATGCATCGAGCTCGGGCTTTTGAGGTTTATGGTAGAATCTTAGAATCAGCCTTGAATCTCTGTCAAGATGATGTGAAAGAAAGATTACAGAGAGCGAATGAAAAGTTTAACGTAGGCTTATTTTTTAATTTTATATACTGTTTCAATAGTTATAAATATGTTATTCCTGCTAAATAGGCTGAAATTCAAAAAGACTGGGAGTTGTGGTTAGAAGAAAGGAAAGCGGTATGTATGATCAGACTTCATCTACTTTATTATGTAAGTTAATATTTATGTTTACGCTCCCAGATTCTAGTAAGCCGTTCGATCCAAAAAACCAATATGACTGTGCAAAATAGGTTTAACATACGCATAAAAAATCAGGTTAGTGATAAGTTTAATTTGATTTGACATTCATCGTACTTTAATGAGATTTCGGAAAATCTTTATTACAGGGCACACTGGCAACAACGCAAACGACGTTTAATAATTCTACAATACTTGATTTAGACGATGAAGAAGAAGAAGAGAAGTGTGCAGATGAGAAGGAGGAATTTAGTGTGAATAATCATAAAGATGAAGATAAAGATGAAGCCGATAAAGATGAGGACGATAAAGATGATGTCGATATAGATGAGGACGATAAAGATGAAGACAGTGGCTCATTTGCTACAATGAATGATGATATCCTCGTCCCAGATGAAGACTTCAAATTTGTTGAAAGACATGAACCGGAAACGATAGGTCGGACCAAACGATGGATTTTATCAAGTGGGACCGATGTGGGTCAAGTGTTGACCTCTTATTTATACCTAATTCCTGAATCACAAAAATGCGTCAAGTGAGTTTTTTCACTAGTGATTGCATCTTTTAACAATGCTCATATTTTCATGGACTTTTTCTGTTCAATAGTCCTGTTTACTGGGGAATCCTCGATCTCACCGGGACTCATTCAGAAACAAAACAACTCTTCTCTACGGAAGATTGGACTGAGATGTTGAAAAGTTTCGAAGACGAAATAGAAACTATTGAAGAAGATATACCTGACGTTGTATATTTGTTTTTCGATGAAATTGAGCAGGTAACTAATGATGATCGATGTTCTATTACATTCAGATTTTGCTCATGTTATTCATTCGTTTCAGATAATAAAGAATAATGAGAAGAGTGAGGATATTGTAACGGAAATTGACGGGATTTCTTCGCAGAAAATAGAAGCAAAGCACTAGATCACACTCGGTGAACAAGATAAAGCCTATATGAATGAAATCAAGAGAGCGGTCTTGACATAGTAAGTGAGATAAAGTATGGACTTTTTGTCTTGTTACAGTTTGAATTTCACTTTGGACACTTTTTCATAGTGCGGAAAACCTGGCCGAAGTTGATCTGCCGATTTCGGAGACTGCTTTTGATAATTCAATTACAAACATGCTCACAAGAAGATTTCTCGACAAGACCGAATTGAAAATGGACTCGTAAGTTGAAGAAATTATAATTGCATGATCGTTTTGTTCATCAATCCCTTTCATATACACACACGTATTTCTTTAGGGGAGAGATCTGTTCCTGGGCTTCGGCTCAACGACGTAACGAAGGTCGCTCAATTACACTCCGTGCCCGGGTGGGGCAAAAATGTGACTTTCGAGGAACGTTAAAACACAGTATAAATAAATTAGAAGCGATAACAGGCCTCCGAAGTGGTGGTCTCCCAGAACCACATCGTAAAAAAATTTTTTCGGATTTCCTCGACTTATCCATAACGATGAGGGATATTCTCCACGCATTTTTCAACTCTAATGCAAACGCCTCGGATGAAGATTTGCATAAAATATTTGTTCTCGGAGTCCAGTCATGGGGTAAGTAGATAGTTGACACAAACTAAGCTTTATTCATAAATACTTACATATATTTTTTGTTTCAAAGGCTGGACACATCAGATCCTTGCTATGGATTGCAAAGGGACAAACATTTGTAGGTATGGGAAGTTGTGCACAACAACCTTGCCCAATTCTATAAGAACACTTGCATGTCTAGAAAAGTTTTACGTAGAAATGAAAAATGTTAAGGTAATTTTTGATTTGTCATGTTACTGCTTTATAAATTTGTATAATGCAATTTTTTACGCGATTATAGGCTACCCTCAACTCCATATGCAATAAAGCAAATGACATCGCTTTATCCCATGCTCGAGCACATAGAAAAAAGCGAAAGGGAAAGGACCGAGAAGAACATTCCAATATTGAGGTTGGGGGCTGTTTTGGCAAAATTACTGGAACACCTCTCTCGAAAAAGTCACGAATATTCAAACATGGTTTCCTAATTTAACTTTTTAAGTCTATTAAATTCACATCGAGTTATTTCAAAATTGACTGCCTGAGCTTAAGAAGAAAAAAAAAGCGCAAATATGGTACACGTCATCTATGCTCATTAATCATTCTAAATTTAAACATAGTCACATGCCCTAATTTGATTGGTTAAGGCCTGATTCGTGTATGATCGGCAGAAAATTACTATATAAGTTTAGAGTGAAATTATAATAAAAAATTTAAGAGTTACAAATATAAAAAAATCTTAAATGATTATATAATATATTAAAAATCGCATGATGAAAATCTTTAAATGCCAAGTAAAATATCAAATATGAAAAATTGGTGATTTTACTTATTTATTCTGAATTTTACTTTAAGGAACCGTCAGATTTGAAAGGTATATATATATATATATATATATGATTATTTCAAGTTATATACAAGTTTATTTTGAATTTTTAAACAAAAAATAATTTTATATATTTTCTTTTACTTTTAATTTATCTTTTTCTAAATTTTGAAAAAATTTTGCTAATTTTATCTTTTACCATTTAGATGACTTTCTAAAATTTTAATAACCTTAGAAATAAAAAGTTTTAAAAGAATATATTTAGCAATACAATATAAAAAAAATATTAAATTATCTCTTTATTTGAATACAAGATAAAAATTTATAAATTTATAGTTAAAGTCTTATTGATCTTTTTGATCTCATCACCTTTTTGGAAAGAACATGGTTAAACCGTTAGTAATTTAATTAATGAAAAAATTCTACAAAAAAAATTTAAAAGTTAAAATTTAGGTTTTCTTTTTTTTTTGTTAAGAATCCATATTTAATTTTAAAATTTAATATAAAATTTCAAAATAATTAAACATAAAACGTGATATTAAACATAATATTACCAGTATATATTTGAAAAATTTGAGGAGAAAAATATGTTATATACTTAAATAAAGAAATTATAAATTTATTAATTATAAGGTATAACATTATAAAATTCAGAGCAAGTTTTTATTCTATTTTTTAAACATTTATATAATCAGTCAATCAAATCTTTATTAAACATATTAAAAAAAATTGCTAATTATAATTGAATGATAATAACTTTTATGTATTACAATTTCAAACTTTAAATCAAATTTTTCATTAAACATATTACAAAAAATATGACTAATTGTTATTAGATAATAATAACTTCTGTATATTGCAATTTCAAACTTTAAATTAGATTTTTCATTAAACATATTACAAAAATGTAACTAATTGTTATTAAATAATAACAACTTCTGTATATTGTGATTTTAAACTTTAAATTAGATTTTCATTATACAAAAAATATGATTAATTGTTATTAGATAATAATAACTATATAATACAATTTTAAACTTTAGTAAATATTAATTGAGAATTTAATATTTCATATTTAAATATAATAATTTAGTATTACTTATCTTAAATAATATTTAACAGTATTAATTCTAATGTTAATTTATCTAATTTTTAATAATGATAAAAAAAAATAAGTTCTAATTAAATATAAATTAGAATAATAAAATTGGATTATTTTTATGAAATTTTAATTAAAAAATTATAAAATTTTTAAAAAATTGTTAATTATTCTAAAAATTTAATTAGTGATAAATCTATAGATAAATCATCATTAGTAATTATCAAAATAATATTATTGAAAATTATATTTTCTTCTGAAATGAAAAATTTAAAATCACATAAAAATTTAGTAATTTATTAAATTGTAATTATTAGATAATTTTGTAAATTAGATTACATATAACGTATAAAATAGAATTACAGTTGCAATTTACAATTACTAGATGATTTTGACTAAATAGAATTACTTATTATATGCAAAATATTACAAATCTCTGATATATATTAATATAATTTTATATAAATTTATAAGTATTTTTTTCTTTTTTTTTAATAGTTAAACAATTTTTTCTAAATTTCATTTTTATAAATGCTAAATACAATTGATTGGTGTGATAATAAAGTTTAACTTTTGATAAATGAAAGAAAAAGCAGAAATTTTAAATATTAGAATATGCTTGAAAGATCTAAATTACCTTTTTTAAAAGAAGTTGTAAATAAATTAAAAGAAGAATTTAATACAAAAGTTATGCTTTTGCATTATTAAATAAAGTTTAAAGGAATAGTTAAAAATTGTAAAGTATGTAAAGTTTTAATTAAGAAAGCTTATAATATCAAGTAATTATATAAAATAAAATTTATAAATAATAAATTTTTTTAGTTATTTGAACTTTATGCAAAAGAAAAATCTAAAGGAAGGTAAAGTAAAATTAGCAAGATATATGAAGAATAATTTGTAGGAAAAAATCTGATAAGTATTTAAAAATGTATTTATTTGATATTTATATTAAAATTTAGTTATATTCAAACTTTTTATTTTTTAGTTTCTTGAGTAGAAAGCAAAAGATAAGCTGAATTAGATTAATATAAGTTTTATTATTTAAGCTTTAAATATTTAAACTTATTTTAAACTAAATTTTAATATTTACTTTACTAAAAAATTTAAATATTTCTCGTTTCTCTAATTCTTCTTCTTCATAAAGATTAACATTACTAAAAGATCTGTCTTACTATTATTATTATCTAATATTAAAATACCATCACATATCAAAACCTTTACTCTAACTTTTAATATTTTTTATTACTATCTCTAACTATTATCATTCCTTTTTCTTTTTTCATTTTTCTTTTTAAATTTTATATTTAATTTTTTTTATAATTTTTTTTTTCTGATTTTTTACTAAAAAAAAAAATTTTTTTCTTAAACAAAACTATATAGTATTTAGAATCAACAGTTATAAGCTAATCTATACCTAATCAAAAGTAAGTAAATTTTAATATTTATAATTTTATTATATTTATAATTTTATTTTTTTTTTATTTATTTATATATCATTATTATAAATACTTAAATAAATAAATAGAAACTATTATTGAATATTATAATCTGTTAAATAAAAAGAACAATAACTAATAATATTAAAGTAATTTTTCAATTGATAATTTAGTAATACAATATTTATAAAATTAAAATCCTCTGTATAGTTATAATTTATGTAATTTTAATAGTAAGTTGACTATTTAGAAGGATTTTCTATATAGTCACATTTTAATATAAAGTATATATATGATTTTTAGTTTTATTATATGATAAAATATTTTGAAATTTTAAAATTTAGACAAAAGTATATCAATTTCATCATATGATGAAATATTTCAGAATTTTAAAATGTAAATTGTAATGATGAAAATATTTTGATTTTATCATATGATGAAATATTTTGATTTTACCTAGCATCATTACCTATAATATATTATTTATGATAATTAGTTTATTTATCTTGGTAATATTACAGATAGTCTAAATTCTAGGCTTAACCTTACTTTACATCATAATACTATTAGAAAATATTTTTATAATGAAGGTTTTAGTAATTATACTACATGTAAAAACTTATTTTAACTGAAAAATAACAAAAAGATTAAT